CCGTCATTTACAATTGAATTTATTCTCCGTCCCTAGAATTTAGAAATAGTGTCGTGTCTAGCTTCAATTTAATTCAACAAAAGTAAAGTCCTGTAAACTTGAATTTTTCCGACAAAGAGAGCGGGGTTAAAGAGAAGCTGGATAGCTTGCAAGAACGAAGATCACTTGAAGAAGAGAAAATAGCTGAAAGAGCGAAGAGAAAAACAAAAAAGAGAAATACTTTGGGGAAAAATCCCAAAACTGGCGGAATTTGTGTTAAAACATAATAGGGAAATAGAGAACAGATTGATAATTGATAAAAATTGTTCTAAACGTTAAGATGAATTAAACTATGGAGTAACTCAAATGGAGAAATCCAATGGAATGTAGATTACTGGTTTTTCTTTTACTTCAAAAGGTCTCGTTGAAATCCGGGAAATAATTGAAATTCCGGGAAATCATGAAAGTTGTAAAAAGTAGAAATCCTACATGTTTTTGTCAATGCTTTATCATTGTTATATTATAATGAATACGTGTATTATAAATCCTTTTTATTACTATTATCTAGGTCCCAGTATCCGTGTATACCCTGAGATCTAGAGTTAGCTAGGTTCTACGAACAATATTGACGTGTGGAGATGATATCATGAGGTTCAGCATGTCTCCGGCCCTCAACGAGGGGAGGAAGGCCAGCCACAACAATGTCTCGTCCGAGCCACCTTGAAATCATCGTCCTTTGATTATTATGTGTTTTAAAGTTTCTAATTTTCAAAGATAAAACTATTTTTTTTAAATCTGGCCACTTTAGGTCATAAAATATGGATCGAATAAAATATTGCAATGATTTTATCATGTTGGAAACATTAAAGCCATGAGAATTATTAAGGTAAAACTTAAATCTTTTCTGCCTCCGTAATGGCTAACCTTCGCTATGTAAAATAAATAGAAAAATATTTGGCATACCTCTGCCTATCATTTTCCCCATGGAACCACCCGAAAAAAATTCTATGGTTTTCAATATACTTAACAAAAAAGATTAAAGTTCTATAAACTCGGAATTATTTGCGGCATTTAGCACCAGGAATATTTGAAAATGCGCGTAAAAAAGGTGAACATTTTCAAGGACATTTTTTTCGATTTACAAAAATTCAATATTTCATTTATGCCCTAACGTGGCCTGATTCTTGAAAAACATCTTATCTTAGAGGATTAGACAATTAAAAAAAATATTATTGGAAGGACGAGGATTTCTAGGTGGCTTGGACGAACAAATGAGAAGAATGTGGCTCGGACTAGAAATTGTTATGGGTGGCCATCCTCACCTCCCTCAACATCATGCAAATAAAAAACATCTGTCAAAAACCTCGCGCACTTTATACATACAGCTAGATCAGGACTTTTCACAGGGACAAACATTTATAAATAGTCGTAGCCTCGTAGGGACAATTTTACAAGAGGACAATTAGATTTTCATTTTGTTATTGATGACCGACATTTACACAAGTGGGCATGGAGGAACAATCATTTGTTAAAAAAGTTATACAGGGTTACTGGTACGCCTTTGCACTCTGCTATTGTAATATACAAAGGAATTGAGTCTTTTCCACAAACTCGTGGTTTTTAAATCCCTATATCTTAACAACCCAATGTTGTTGACCTTAGATATTTCAAACTATGACTTCTATTTTATCAAACAATCAAAGTTTGAAGTATCTAAGGTTTACATAGTTTGGTCGTAGATATATAGGTATTAGAAAATTGGAATTTGTTGCAAAGGCTCAATTCCTTTGTACATTGTATATATATGATTGCTTGGCGTTGGACATTGACTGTGGACATTGGACATGGATGCATTTAAACATCGAGTTAGACATTTTGAGACATTCATCGCAAGCAATACTGAGATATAAAACAAGATACGTACAAATTTTATTGGAGAATGGACATTGACATTTATTCACAGCGTCAGGCGTTTATAGACAAACATAGACACATATATACTGAGATGTTTAGACAATATAAACAATGAACAATGGACAATTGACATTTGTGGACATACGTACTTAATTTAGAATTATAGTCATATATACTGGGATATTTAATCATTGTACGTTCATATTTGTTTGAAGTTAGAAAATGTAAATTCATTTTCCTATGAAATAAGTTTGGTTAAGGTTAACTGAAATTATGAATTTAAAAGCTTGAGTATAAAAAAATATCAAAATATTTTAACATTTTTATTTTCACATACACACAGTTTGTTCGCCATTTTTTTTCATTTTCGTTTTCATAACATTTTTATTTTCACATACACACAGTTTGTTCGCCATTTTTTTTCATTTTCGTTTTCATTTTTGTTTTCATATACATACAGTTTAGTCGCCATTTTCTTTTTCATTTTTATTTTCATATACATAAACTTTGGTCGCCATTTTCTTTCACATTTTTATTTTCATATACATAAATTTTGGTCGCCATTTTATTTTTCATTTTTATTTTGATATATATAAACTTTGGTCGCCATTTTATTTTTCATTTTTATTTTCATGGACATACCGTTTGGTCGCCATTTTCTTTTTCTTTTTTTTCATATACATAAACTTTGGTCGACATTTTCTTTTTCATTTTTATTTTCATACACATAAACTTTGGTCGCCATTTTATTTTTCATTTTTATTTTCATGGACATACCGTTTGGTCGCCATTTTCTTTTTCTTGCTGAGAGAAAAGAATGGGTAAACTTGAAAGATTAATGTGAAAGGACTTTAACAAGGTCTCCGAATAAAAACATTCAAGTTCTTTTCTCAAACATTTCAATCCTAGCCTGTAGAGTGTAGATTTCAGGTTGTTGATCGTACAGTAAGTCCAAGAAAACATGAAAACCTGAATCAACAATTATGTATACGCGATTGTTTATGAAGAGATATTTATTATATTTTCTTTTTAATATAAAGTTTCGGATAGATTGAAAATGATTAGTTCTTAAAATATTGATTGTAATCAGACAGAACTCTTATCTCTGGGTTTCATATCACATTCACATGTGTTAACTTTGGGTTTCTTTCTGACATACAGTCTTTCAATGGTAAATTAGAAGATTTTAATAAGATTTATACCAAGTTATAGTTTCAAGAAACGATGAAAGTGACAAAAAGGCTAAATAAATTCTGGACAGTCGTTTCCGAAGTCTTATTCTTTGCATGTAACCCTATATTTATATATTCAACACCTTTTGGAGGCGGAGCTTGTTTCTAACCTTCCAAGTTCTTGATACTTTGAGAAAAAAGTGTCAAATGTGTTGACTCTGCAGTGATTCTTTTTACTCGCTTGTTTAGCCCTTCCTACATTTAGACTAATCAGTTAAATTCATCAATCAAACTCTGGACAGCTGATACAGACAAGACAGATGCTTTTATATAGAAATAAATCATGTTTTATTTACATTATTCATATCTTTTCAATCATTAAATATGTCTTGACTGATACAAACATCTATTAATACTCGGTTAGTACGGAATTTGTAATGCCTGTTTCCTTATATTCTTAATTCTACTTCTTAATTCTTAATTCAATTTTTAAAATCCTCATGATTGTTAATTTTTGAGAATCGGTTTTTTAAAAATTATTCAATAACGACGACGAAAAATGTAGTAAAAATTCTACAATAAACTAATTAGTTGTTTAGGAACAGGTTGAGAAAATAAAAGTTAACTATTATCATCGAAAATAAGTAATCTTATTCAGCTATTGGTTTCTGTTATGTCTCATGCTCACGTACATTTTCCGTAGATTTCCTGGAATTTTTATTAAAAAGACGATATTTAAAAAATTTGAAGAAATCTGCGAAAAAATTCATAAAAAATAAGAAATTCAATATAATGACGAAAAAGAAATAATTGATTCTAGCATTGATTTATTGAGAAGATTTCGATTAAGAAATATGTTTCTCTAGCACTCTTCCGTCTAATCCTCCAGCACTCTTCCAGTCTAATCCTCTAGCACTCTTCCAGTCTAATCCTCCTCCAGCACTCTTCCAGCCTAATCCTCCAGCACTCTTCCAGTCTAATCCTCTTTCACTCTTACAGCCTAATCCTCCATGCATCCTGCAGTTTATTTCATCATTTCAACCCTGCATTTTTCTTCTCCATTTTATTCATCAGTTTACTCTTACATTTACTCCTTTGTTTAATCCACCACCAGTTTACTCCTCTTTTCTAATCCTCCAGTCAAATCCCCCAGCTCTCTTCAATCCACCTTATTGAACAAGTTTAACCTAGACCAATCATATCAATCCAAGATGTTAGTAAACTTGATCTTGATATCGATGTTTCTGCCGACATTTTCGTCTTTTATTTGCTGCAAGTAAAAACAAAAGCATTTAATTTGTTTCTTGACTGTTTTCTTATGAGAGATTTAAGTTTATACCCAAGTATTTGTAATTTGTAGGTGTACTCTAGAATTTTCTAGAAAAAGAATCTTGGCAACAGATGACATGATGAATAATAGAAAAATCAAGAAGAAATATTCTAACATGATACAGTGGTAATCAGAAAACACTAAACAGTGAAACGATTGACGTGTTCGTTCTTTCTATTAGCTAAAAACTATCGTAAAGTATTTTGTAAGTTTTTACATGTCATAACTGATATATTTCTGAAAATGTTCACTGTTAAGGCATATTTAAATAAAAGAGTTACAAATTACAAAATCCTGAATTGACAGACAATCATTCCACTGTTTTCTAGTTCCTACTCTAGTTGCAAAATGTAACAGATTTTTAAGAGTAACAGGGCCTGTCGGGGGTGGGGGGGGGGTGTAGGAATCAAGGTGGGAGGGAGGTGGGGCAACAAAATTAACAAACAAAGACTACATAGTTTAAAGAATTAGCAAGACTGCGAGAATTGGTAAAAAGTGAAGTGATTCTTAACAATCTTAAATATTTTACTCAAGGATTTGTAAATATTACTTCACATCACATGGAGTTAAAGATTTCATAGGGTTAGGGGGGGCTAGAAGAGTGCATGAGTGCTAGAGGACTAAACTGGAAGAGTGCTAGAGGACTAGACTGGAAGAGTTCTAGAGGATTAGGCTGTAAGAGTGCTGGAGGATTAGGCTGGAAGAGTGCTGGAGGAGGACTAGACCGGAAGAGTGCTAGAGGACTAGACTGGAAGAGTGCTGGAGGACTAGACTGGAAGAGTGCTGGAGTACTAGACTGGAAGAGTACTGGAAGATTAGACTGGAAGAGTGCGAGAGGATTAGACTGGAAGAGTGCTGGAGGATTAGACTGGAAGAGTGCTAGAGGATTAGACGGAAGAGTGCTGGAGGATTAGACTGGAAGAGTGCTAGAGGATTAGACGGAAGAGTGTTGGAGGATTAGACTGGAATTGTGCTAGAGAAATAGAATGGAAGAGTGCTAAAAGATTAGACTGGAAAAATGATGGAGGATTAGACTGGAAGAGTGATGGAGGATTAGACTGGAAGAGTGATGGAGGATTAGACTGGAAGAGTGATGGAGGACTAGACTGGAAGAGTGCTAGAGAATTAGACTGGAAGAGTACTGGAGGATTAGATTGGAAGAGTGATGGAGGATTAGACTGGAAGGATGCTAGAGAATTAGACTGGAAGAGTACTGGAGGATTAGACTGGAAGAGTACTGGAGGATTAGACTGGAAGAGAGCTAGAGCATTAGACTGGAAGAGAGCTAGAGCATTAGACTGGAAGAGTGCTAGAGGATTATACTGGAAGAGTACTGGAAAGGTAAATGGAGGTATGAAGAGAGGGGTAAATGGAGGGAGGAAGAAAGGTAAATGGAGTAAGGAATAGAGGGGTAAATGGAGGGAGGGAGGAATGAAGATAAATGGAAAGATGAAGAAAGGTAAACGTAGGTAATAAGACAGGTAATTGGAGAGAGGAAAAAAGGTAAATGGAATGGAGGGAATAAGAAAGGCAAATGTAGAGAGGAAGAAAGGTAAATGGAGGGAGGAAGAGAGGTAAATATATACAGAGAAATAGAGGTAAACAGAGGAAGGAAGAGAGGTAAATATATAAAGAAAAATGGAGGTAAACAGAGGGAGGAAGAGAGGTAAATAAAGGGGGGATAAAAAAAACATAAAGCTATAAGTGAAAAGATTCATAATTTCTATTTTTAATAAAACAGTTTACAATTTTCATCGATCGAACCTCCAAAACATACCTTTGAAACATTATTTGAAAAGAAGAATAAGAGTTAAAGTTGAGACCTGAGCCTAGAAATAGTTTAATATGTCATACTTCACTGGAAACCCCGCAAACACGGACCTGACCCTAGAAATAGTTTAATATGTCATACTTCACTGGAAACCCCGCAAACACAGTTCAAACTCCTGATAAAATGTTTCATTTTCAAATAAATTAAAAATTGTTAAAATATAGAATGAGTTCAAATTAAACCATTAAATCTTGTCTCAAGGTCAAAATAATTATCTATTTGAATCCCTTAATAAATTTATCCTGTAACAACCAAATCACGCGAAGAATTTTTGAAATTAGAAATATCAAAAGATGAAGAAAATTAAACCATAATGAGGTAAAAGGACGTGTTTAAATTGTTCAGGAGCATGCAAGTAAAAAGGTTTTAAAAGAAAGATTCGAAATTTTTATTATGGCGCGCATTGTTGCATAATTAAAAAACAACAAACTACCCCCTCCCCCCCCCACAACTACACCCAGTTGCGCCTCTGGTCTCCTCCATAAACGCTTTTAAAAACTCATTGTAGTCTTATATCATGAAATTGATCATTTTCTCTCACCTAGATATAATCATATAAACAAAGCCCGACCGAAATATACTGTCGACCATTAAAAGGTCTAGACGCTGAGCTGCGTGTATTTTAGAGTATTTTATTTAATTCGTTACACCTGAAAATAGAGAGGGGGAAGGGAAGTGTGCAGGTGCGGAAATTCGGGCGTGGCAAGCCTAAAAAAATGCATGTGTAAAGAGTGGAGAAGGGGGGAATAAAGGATTACTTACATTAAAACCTAAACATATGCCAGGGACCCATTTTTATCCAGGGGGGGGGGCTCAGCACCCGTTAGGGCCTGAAAATCCCCTGGAAATCATAGATTTTACTGATCAAGGGTGAAGGGGGCTTAGCCCCATTGCCCCCCCTTGTACATCACTAAACGTATCTTCAAAACAAACTACAACCCCATGCAACTAAATATCTTAATATTTAAACAGTAAAGGATAATTAGAAACATTGTGTCGATGCACAGGGTTACCCAAAAAGGAAGAGAATTAAATGACGACCTGCAGTATAGTCTCATCGTTTGTGAGTCTTTTAACATTAATATTAATATGCAGATAGACGTAAGAAATTTCTAACAGCCCACTCCTCCGTTTCCAAAGTGCATATCTATGACTTTAAAGGAAAGTATATTTATCTTCAATACTGCACTCTGAGCTCAACTACCATGTCTAGCCGGTCACTCCCTTTAAAAATATTATTCTTGTTTTAACATCACATATCCATCTTTACTTAAACATCCTGCAGGCTATAGAGGGGGAGATACTATATTCATGAAACATTTTTATTCCTCTTTCATCTTGGAAAAAGTTTATCAAAAAAATGCCGGAAACCATAAACTTGTTCATCACAAATATGGTAAATTACATCAAGTATCTTTTTACTTATCTTATATAGAACATTCCATAAGAGAAGTGCAAGTGCAAATTGATAAAATAAAAGATTTATATATATTTTTTTATTGTAATTTATGTCAATATAAATTTAACAAAAGTTCTTAACTTTACAATTCACTAGAATACGGAAACTGTTTACTCTTTTTCCAAATTGAATTTAATCAAACTTTTACAGAAACAATAACCATACAAAAATTGGCAGATTTTGAATGTTTAAAATCAAGAAAAATATCCTCAACAGGAGAAAAAGGATGGGTTGGGAACTGGGTGATTAAAAAAATGTTCAGTACATAAATGACTATTAGAGTATGAAATATATATTTAAATGACTTTGATAAAAGATGTTTTACAACAATAACATAGTATATTCTGTAGTTTAAGTTTCCGAAAAGAACAGTTTTTACAACAATAGATATTGGGAACATTCTCTATAAGTACATTTTCTTCTCTTTTCCAGTGTGTATGCTGTATATTGTATAATATATAAAGTCTCCCCTCCCTCTAGAAAACTCAATTGAATTTAGTGTCGGTTCTATGAACAATACAATATCTAAATTTCTTTAAGTTTCCGACAATTTAGAATTATTAGGATAAATCACCAATTGTTCTAAAAGCTGTAAAATTCACCCCCGGAATAACAAAAATTTATAAATGATTACACGCTGGGGAGTTTTGGGTGGCCTGGCACAGAGGTTTAGGAAAATTCATAAATGATTACAGGAGAAAAATGTCGAGCTATATTTATCAATTTGGACAAATAAGATGCTTTGAAGTGTAAATTAAATACAATTCAACTGTTGGAAAGCATCAAAATGTTTCTTTTTGAAAATATTAAAGCATTAGAACTGTCACTGATACAGATGATAGACAATATATGTAAGATTCCCGTTCTATTCTATGACTAAGACTCATTTTAAGTTACCATTTAAAGACAAACTCATATGACATAATTATGTCTCAGACACTTTTCTATGTCGTTACTTTAAGACACATTCTAAGTCACATTCCTACCTCAATTCCATGTCTAATTCATGGAAAGACATATCTAAGTCACAATTATGTCTAAGACTCATTCTAAGTCACAATTCTAAGAAAAATTCTTAATTTGGAGACATATTTTTGTGTAAGACACATTCCGAGTCACAATTAAGACAAATCCATACTTTTAAGACCAAATTATGTCTGAGAAGCTTTCTAAGTCACAACTTTGTCTAAGACTCATTCTAGTGCACAACTATGACTATAAGACTCATTCCAAGGTCACCATTTAAAGACAAACTCATAAGACATAATTATGTCAAGACACTTTTCTAAGTCACAATTCTAACTGAAACACATTTCTAAGTCATATTAGACATATTCCTAATCACATTTCTAAGCCACAATAACATCAACGTCATACTTTTGAGACCAAATTATGTCCAAGACACTATCTAAGTCACAATTAAAAGTCATAACAATGTCTAAGACTCATTCTAAGAAAATATCTTACTTTGGAGACATACTTATGTCTAAGACCATTCTCTGTCATTGTCAAACTGATACTTTTGAGACATAATTATGGCTAAGACAATTCTAATTCACAATTATGTCTAAGACACTCTCTTAGTCACAAATATACATTAGACACATTCTGAAACACGTCCTAAGTAACAAATATGTCTTAGACATATTCTAAGACTCAATTCTAGCTCAAAACTATATCTAAGTCATGTTTTTTAGGCTTCAATGTGTTTAAGACTGATCCATTCTAAGTCACAATGCTAAGTCTGGAACACCTAATCAGTCACACTTGCAGGGTGTCCCACTAAACATGACAGTTGGTGAATATTTTTGAACGTCTTCTTCCATATACTGTATTAGATATTGAAGACTTTTTGTTGTTTATTTTGTTTAAAAAATCTGTTACTCAAATATATTTTAATTTGAAATCAATTTTACTGTAAGATGACGTCCATACAATATTTTTATTATTTTCTTTGGTATCAAACAACTTAACAAATACAAGAAGAAGACATTTTAAACCATTCATTAACTGTCATGTTTCGTGGGACACCCTGTATGTCTAATTCACAGTTGTCTAGGTTAATTATATTCAAGGCCCATTCTAAGTCACAGGTCTAAGTCACAATAATTTCAACGTCTTACTTTTCAGACCAATTTGTGTCTCAGACACTTTCTAAGTCAAAATTCTAAGTCATAGCACTGTCTAAGACACTTTCTAAGTCACAAACACACCTTCTCAGTCCCAATCATGTCTAAGTCACATTGTTTGGGCTCAATTATGTATAAGACACATTGTAAGTAACAGTTCTAAGTCACAATTACCTCACAACCATACTTTTCATACCTAAAAATGGCTATAAGACACTTTCTAAACCATAACTCTGAGACAAAACTATACCTAAGTAATGTTTTGTAAGGCTTAACTCAGTCACAAGCAAAAGTCACAGATATGTCTAAGTCTGTTTTAGGAGATAAAATCATGCCCAAGACACTTTCTAAGTCTCAAATTATAAGTCACAATAATTTCTAAGTTGCATTTTTCTTGTTCAATTTTGTGTGATAGTATGACTTTGACTTTAAATATTTAAAGACATCATTGTAACTTAGAATATAAGTCACAAACATATCTTAGTTCTTATTTTAGGCTTGATAATATTTTAAGTCACAACTCTAAGTCGAAATTCTTAGTCACAATATTTGTTGCATTGTCAAAAGAATATCAAAGTAAGCATTCCGGCCATATCAATGTTTTTCTGTTCATATCAAGATTTAAATTTACCTAAATTTTTTAGTTTTTTGTGTAGAACAGCATTAGAAAAGAGACTTAGAGTCCACTGCTTCTAATTTGAGGCCATTATATATCCTGACTCATTACATCCAGAAAAGGAGGGCGGGGAGTATGGCATTTTCTTCCTCCAAAACTTACCCTTTCTCAGGTTTTTCTTAAAAGAATCAAAAATTATTTTTAACCAGAAAAATGAATGGTTTCTTTCATCTTGTTTTACAACTGATGAGGACATATTTGTGGTGTTAACTTAAATCCATATGAAATGCAAAGGGAAAAGCAATGCTTCCTAATTCTTAGCTCATTCAGTCATAATTTGACAAGAAAGTTAATATTTTCTCAAAAAGAGTGAGATAAGGCATCAAATTGGATTGCTTTGTTGCTTTTGATGGTTTAAAATAACACTTTTGATGCTTTACTACACGGTCAAAGCATCAAAGTGTTGAAATTGAAAGACTTTAACACTTAAACGTTCACATTTATATGTAGAACCTAATGGGACACAAAGTTTTAAACTGGAAATACATAGTTAGAAATAAATACCTTAAACCTTTTCCAAACATTATATTTAGAGATTTTATACTTCTTGGAAAAAAGCTTGATGGTTCGATCAGTTTTAAAAATATATTTCGATATATTTCATATTCTTCTCAATTCTAAAGTGGAGCCATGGGCGTATTCAGGAGGGGGGAGGGAGGTTAGCCCTCCTTGGATCAATGAAGTCTATGAATTTCAAAGGGTTTTCAGGCCCCAACGGGTACCGAGCCCCCCTAGACAGAAAAAGTATGTAACCCAGCTCCCTCTGGACACATTCCTGAATACGTTCCTGAGTCACCTGAGTGGAGTGTTTAAGCAGGATCTCTGTTGAAGTCGAGTTATGTGGTTCATTTAACTCCTCAACCCTATGTTCGTCCAAAATTTAGAAATTACAAGAAAAGATGTTAGGAGGCCTTACCTAGAAGCTTTTAACAGAGAAATATTTTACTAATTTTAATGACGTCCCACCGATCAACTTGGGGGAACGCCNAGGTAAAGGGGGCAGTGCCCCTACCTAGACATGTAAAGGGGGGCCTAGCCCCCCCCCACCCTTTGTACTTAATGCTATTACACTTTTAAAATCTGAAACTAAAGAGTGAAGAGCATTAAAAACATTAATTTGCTGTTTTTTTTCTAGTTTTGTTTGATGGAGAGATTATAAAGTAGTCCTTGTATGGTAATTGGACTGTATAGTGTATGTGTACCTTTAAAGTATACCAAGATGCCAAATGTTTTGAATTTACGGTTCAAATTCCCCCCCCCCCTTGAAGCTCTTAGGGACATTTTTTTGCGCTTCGCGCATATTTAGCCCCCCATAGATTTATTTCTGTATACGCCCTTGCTAAAGTTACAAACTAAGACGACTAACTTTGTGAGTTTCTTATTTCCTGCTTGACGCGGCATTATGTATCCTGTCGCGCAGGGATGAAACCCCCCTTGTCAAGCAAGGTCGTATAAATAATCTTCTTATTAGCCAACCTTTAAACGTACTGTTTAGAAGAAACCTTGGTCCTTGCTAGTGAAGTATACTTTCAGATATTCGCCAAATACGCAAATTAGATTTTTTGTTATTGAAACCAATATTTAATCCGAAAATCACTGTGCAACTTATTTTAGTTTGGTGGAATTCAAAGTTTTGTCATCAAACTTTAAACTATTTTTTATGCTTTTGATTTTATCACAAAGTATCGAGTCTTCGACAATTTCTTTTTTCATCGCTATTTTAACCCTGATGCATTGTACAAAAAAGGTTCAGCTTACATTTTACAAATTGGTTTGAAAAGGATCGGATACAAACACAGGGTTTCTGCTAAATATCTTTTGTTTAATGCGTATTCGTAAAATACACGACTTAAAGTTTATCATTCTTTTCATTAATTTTATGCTGCAGCATTGTAAGTATGTTCTATGTTTGAAAGTCTAAATATAGTTTCCTATCTCCCAACTTCAGTGTCTCATTTTTAAATCTAAATAAATTCTTGTATTAAGAAGTGAATTTGTAAATTTTCAGACAAATAATGCTGGTTGTTACATAAATGTTGAGGAACGTTGGAACAATGAAGATCTTAGTTCTTCTTCTAGTTAATCTCTCCCTGTGTTTAGGGGTTGAATACCAGCCGAGACATGTACACCTCGCCTTAGGTAAACATTTATTCCAAATACTTTGTGAAGTATCGCCTTGAAGATTAGAAACTAAGTTTTAGCAACGCCCTTAGATACTATCGTTCTATACTATATTTTGAAATATTAAAATTTTTTTAAATTAACGCCATATCTTAATTTATTGCAATTTTATTTAAATGTGACATTGCACCCAAAATCGTTCACTAGGACAGACCCCAAATATCTCAACATGAGCGCTTTTGAATAATAAAAATTGTTGTTATTGTGAATTATTTTAGTAATGCCACTGTAATTCATTAATTTTGAGAAGAAACACAACGTGATATTTGGTCTAAGTCGCTATAAATAAACCCGCTGTAGACAGTTGATACTGCAGAAATATTGTGCGCAATATTTACGATAACCCTAAAATGTCCAGGTCGATTGATAGATTGTCCTAATATATACACGTATATGCTGCAGCTGGATGGTTAGTAACCCTCAGCCAAGCTACATGAGTCGGGCGGACCGCGCCAACAATTTTTCCTATGGTTGATCCATGAATCGCATCTAAGCTTAAATTTGACTTGAATAAGTAGTTGTAAACTAATGAATAATGAAGCTAATCTAATTTGAAATATGTAGATACTTAAAGGTCTTAACAAAAATTGTTCCTGATAGGACTTTTTAACGAATCTTATGCCATCCTATTTAAGTGCAAAAATTAAAGAAACCCTGAAAATTCTTCTCTGAAGTGTTAATTTTCCTTAGACAAGTTCCTAAGTAATTTCAAAGAAACCAAGATGCTTTATTTTGCATTATGCTGGGACCACTCATTAAATCCGGTCTCTGAACTCTGATTTCAGGTGGTGAACCTAATTCACTGGTTGTAACCTGGAGTACTCTGAATAGAACAGATCGTTCCATTGCACTTGTAGGTGAGCATTAATCAGAGAATATAATTATATCAACCATGACGACTTAATCGTCTTAATTCTGGTTTATACGAGCTACTCCCGTGATTAAAAAAGTAAATTTTATTACGAACACACCCCGAATCAATTTTTATATTTGGAATCCACAAAGGATGAGCACGAGCAGTGATGAGTGTACGGAATGTATGTCATTATAAGAGTTTTATGTCGTCATTGAAGTCTCGTCAATTGTGGGTAATAAAGTAGATGTAACAAAGTTTTTTTTCTTAATATAGGAAGTCGATCATGGCATATTTTATGTTAGAACATTTCGTTGCCTTGAACATATTTCTTAACGTATACTTTTCACTTTTGAGCCGGTGTAAGTTCAGGAGAAGTTGTTCAACTTAATATACATAGCTCAACCGACATAATGTTCTATATATAGTTTGCTTGTCTGTTTGTATCATGGTTTGTATCCAATAAACGTCAAAACGACTGAACTGATCGGGCCCAAATTTGAAAATCCACGATTTTTTTTATAAAATCTGCGAAATTTTTTTTTTATTTTTTATTTATTCAAAGAGAAAATGTTTACAATTGAAAAATGAGATGGGCGCGACAAGCCCTGAAAGCCTAGTACTTAATAAATACACACCTGGTTCTTATATCCAGGTCGGAAGAAGATTGAACGAGAATATTCTGGAGTTTCAAGTTTATTTATCGATGGAGGAGAGGAGGGAAGGGAACAATGGATTCACACTGTAACACTCAACCAACTCAAACCTAATAAAAACTACTTCTACAGGTAGAATTGTGTCATACTGTTATTATTTCTCGAGTACTGAACAAACCAAGGGAATGGGGACTGGGGAGTTTATCTTACAGATAATAAAGATATAGCCCTGGATTTCACTTACTTTAAAATATTGCGTTTTTTTGAATTCACCAATTTATTTAAAGAATAAAACGTAAGAAGTTTCCAGTAAAATTTCGTACTTAAACAAAATAACCAAAATGGTTTTTTTTCAGGGTTGGATCTGAGTTAGGATGGTCTAACTATTTTTACACCAAGACCTTGCCTGACTCAACTGACTGGAGTCCCACCATTGCTATGTTCGGGGATATGGGAACTGAAAACGCGGCCAGGGAATATTCTAATCTAGAAATACGTGTTGTTCAACTTAAACCACTCGGAATTCCTTAAAGTGGTTTAAGTTTAGAGGAAGTTTTATTTTAGAATATCTCTAGTTTACCCTTCCTACAGAGAGGAGCTAGTGAGGGTATGTTCCAAGCTATTCTTCATGTTGGAGATATGGCCTACGATATGGCGGAGGAAAACGGGAAACGCGGAGATGATTTTATGGAACAGATAGAACCCATTGCTTCTACTGTACCCTACATGACCTGCCCAGGTTTGATGTTTTCCTTAGTAGACGTTTTTTATATTTTTAATGAATACTATGGTCTAACTATATGAATATGTATATATCTTAATATAGAAGTAAATTGTAGTTTGATTAAGGGAACCATGAGCACCATTACAACTTCAGCAACTACAAGGCCAGATTCTCTATGCCGGAGGATGATAACAAGATGTTCTATAGTTTTAATCTGGGCCCTGTACATTTCATCTCCATCTCTACTGAGTTTTACTTCTACCTGGAGTACGGGATGGATCAGTTGATAAACCAGTACTACTGGTTGAAACAGGATCTGGAGAAGGTTAGGTCTATTTGTAACTAGATCACCCTGCATGGTAGGCACTAGGCAGTACTAGGATGGAATGGATGAATAATAAATGTAATTAACAATTTATATTTTTAAAATACAAAGGTTAAAGGAACTATAAGCCTAATTTTAAGTGACCCATCATGCAAAGATGATAATGCCCGATTCATAACGGTACCCTTGAAATCTATTCAATAATGTAATATTGTCGTTTATCGAGGTTAACACCTGTTTAACTCTAAATAAATTGTTTTCAAAAGCATAAACAATGATATCTAAATCATACTTGAACATTGCCATTTTTCTAGAATCACTTGAAGTTACACCTACAAAGTCTCGTTAAATGTGGCATAAATGTTTGCAAAAATAGACAATTTTTTATCAACTTTTACTTCATTAAATAAAATTAGTAAGAACAAAGCATTTAGCTCCGATGGTTTTTTACTGAAAAATGTTGTAGTTCCACATTTTTTCTGAAAAATTCTTCCAATTGTACAATTGCTTCTGTTTAAAATTTATTCATCCCTGTGGACTACTATTATTGATATTATTATTACTAAAGCCATGCTTGTTGCAGGCTAATACACCGGAGGCTAGAAGTAAGCGTCCCTGGATAATTGTATTCGGACACAGACCAATGTATTGCTCTAATAACGACGACGATGATTGTACAAAGAACGAGTCCAGAACTAGGTACGGATAAAAACCCAAATTTTTTTTGACGATTTTTCGGGAAAATTTTATTTTAAATTTTTTGATCTTACATCTAATATTCATTCTTCCCAAACCAGTGATAAACCTTAGAAAATTCACTCGGTAAATATGTCCAGAAGAAAGGAGGTTATTAAAGTGCGGAAGGGGATACATATTACATATAAAGTACATTCCCCCAAATTAAATCATTTTTCGTCCCCGCTGCTCCAGACTTGTGTTTTCTTCTCCTTTACTGCAGTTTGCAATAAAATCATTTTCTTGAAAATTCGCCATTTATTATTTTTACTCCGCTTTAATACCATTATTCAAGTTTTTATGCGTTTTATCCTTAATGGATTTTTACATTTTTTAAAGAAAAATTCTGTGCGGAGGTCTAGTAGTTTCATTGCATAAAGCATAAAGCATAAAGCATACAATTTTACTGTAATAATAAAAAATCATAATTTTATAATTTCGTGAAGTGAAGGGTGAACCGAAGGTGAAAAACAGCCACTTGACGAGGGAAATGAATGTACCAACCAGTGTATATTAAACCTAAATCATTTGCTTAAATATTGAAGTGTGTGGGGGAGGAGGATATTATTTCAAAGAAATTATCTGAACCTAAACTCTCCGTAGGGTTGGCCTACCCTGGATGCATTGGTTCGGGTTGGAGGAGTTAATGTACAACAATGTGGTTGATCTGGCGGTCTGGGCACACGAGCATAGTTATGAACGTCTTCTACCTGTATACAACCGTACTGTACTCCCAGGTATATTATTTAACATTTTGATTTGATTTGATTTGATTTGATTTGTGATTTGTGATTTGTGATTTGTGATTTGATTTGATTTGATTTGATTTGATTTGATTTGATTTGATATTTNTTTATTTTGATTTGATTTGATTTGTTGTGATTCTAGGACCTGATTCCAAGCTTCCATACGTGAACCCCCGGGCTCCGGTTCATATTGTGACTGGTTCAGCCGGCTGTAGAGAGAAGCACGACGGGTTCATTCCCAACCCTCCCCCGTGGTCTGTTTTTAGATCTGACGAGTACGGGTTTACTTTGTTAAAGGTACGTTTATTATTACAATAAACAAACAAGTGAAGAAAATTACTTTGATATTTTTTTTCTAAAAATAAAATATTCGAAAATTTTTCTCAGTTAAAGTTTCCAACGGAACAAGCTGCTTTTTCTCATGTTTAAATCAAGTCTCACTGTTCCCTTTGGTTCAAATTGGAAAGGTCTTCAGAAAAAAAAAACAAATAATTTTTTATTCTTAATGGCGGTCTTGGATGTTCTAGTTCCACATCTGGTTCCCTTTCAGCCTTCAGGAGTGATTGATTGATATATGCCATGACAGTTGAAACCAATGTGGTTTGAGAAAGATTTTTCTTTTTTGATGCTTTAAATATTTCAGGTTGTAAACTCTACACACTTGAGATTAGAGCAGATGAGCGTAGAACCTGATTTACATTCTATTGATCAATTCTGGATTATTAAATCCTCACATTCAGCTTTCTCTTAGTTGGAACATCATCATGCGTATTCTCTGTATGAATATTTAATCTGAAACTCATTTATTCTTTATTAATACTCATTTAATGTCAGATGTGATAAATTCACGCTCAATGCCAAGCAAGGAAGATATTCACCAGGAACCATTATATCTTTGTTTACAAAATAAGTTTCTGGGTGGAATACAAACACAACTCTGAGCCGTCCTGAGGTTGTTGTTCTTGTTGTATGTTCAGGGGTGTATAATTTTAAGAAAACACACCCCCCCTTTATTGGACATCAAGAATTGGGGTTGTTCAATCTTTTTGATACTTTTCCGGGCTTTTCCCTTAAGTTTTTTTTTAATTTTTCCAAATTCAGTGAAGAACCCCATTAAAACAAATTTTGGTGCTTCACACAACAATGCCCGAGGGTTGGGGTGGGGGGAATTTTCTTAAAAAAAAATATTCACCCTGTGTATCTTTCTTGGTGCCATGTAAGAATGCTCTGTAATAGTGGTTGTGAAATTTATTCAGTTTAAGATGTGAATCCAATCGGTACAAACTGATCCAAAACTAGTTTATTACATGGACTTAACTAACGTCATGGGAATTGTAGATTCCTCGCCATATTAATTTGTTGTAAAATTAGTAAAATATTACAGAAAACAATGAACGGTCCTCACGATAAACTAGATTTTGTTCCTGACCCGTCAACTCTGACCGGGAGCGAGGATTTGATGGCGAGAAGGATAGAGGAGGACAGTATCCTCGAGTACAGGGAGGAGGAGGTCAGGGAGGCTGCTCACAAGAAACTCTGGACTCAGGTAACTACTTATTTCGTGATATGTTTTGTTATTCATTTTCAAGATATTTCCATCATTCTTTCAATCATTTCTCTAGATTATGTAATTATTTTTATTTATTTTTTTCATCATTTCCTAGTTTCCAGATTTTTAAAGCTTTTTCTAAATATTTCAATAATTTTCTAGAATTTTCATTTTATTTCTAGATTTTTGAATTATTTTTCTGTTTCAGTTTCAGCAGACAGCTGCTGCTCTGACCCAGCTATACCGTGAACAGCCAGGACGGGATGGTCCAGGGCCCAGAGATGGACCAGCTTACAGAGACCAGCACTCGAGGGACCAACATGGGACTTCCTGGCAACCTTTCCAGACTGCTGCTGGCAGCCTCACACTTCTATACAGGTAATGTAGACGATAGAGAGACATCAGAGGTACTAAAATTCAGGGTGGCCAAAATGTACGGATTGTACGGATTGATTTTTTTTTAACCCTAAAATTGTACGGATTGTACGGATTGTACGGATTTGTTTTCAAATTGTACGGATTGTACGGATTTTATCCTGGAAAATACACCGTTTTTTTTAATTTTCACTCATTTCAGCAAATTTTTCATGAAAAAAAAAAAAAATTCTCGTCAAAATGAAGTTAGTTTAACTTATTTTCTGCATTCTAAATAATATTAGATTGATTAATGTTTCAATTGACAATCAAAATTCATTCATAATTTTCGAGATATGTCCAAGAAGTGTTTATTTGAGAATATGTTCCATAAGTACTTATTTGATTGCTTATTCAAGAAGATGTTCCAGTATCCTGTACCCAGTATCCT